CCCTAACCAGCCTGTACACTCTGAGATCGGAGAATGTGTGCCCTATTTACTCTTCAGTGACTATCACAAGATCCCACCTGAAGCTCAGGAAACACTCTGTGTCTACACAGGGACACAGTAAACCAGGACTGCATTTACATTCCATGCCCCATAGAAGAAATAGCACGCAGGACTGCCCTGTGGGTGCAGGAAGACTACTGAGCAAGATGGGGAGGACTTTTGTAGAAACAAGCCATGTTGAGTAAGAAATAAATTTTTGAACCTTCCCCAATGGTCTAGAAAGTGTACAGTAAGATATCTTTTGGAGAAAAACTAAAGAATTCTACTAGGGGCCAGCAGGTGGCCTGGTGGTTAAGGGCACTGGAATCCCACATGACTGATCATGGTTCAAATCCTGGAACTGGTGACTTGTTTTCTCACTTTCGGTCTCTCTTGCTCTCTCTCTGTCCCTCTTTGGTCACATATAAATAAATAAAATAAAATAATTCTTTGAAAAAAACAGAATTTTACTAACACAGAAATTCCAGAATTGTCATTTAAAAAAAAAAAAAAGCAGAGGTAGTATAATTAATTCTAGGAGGCATGTAAGAGGAGGATAGAATTGTGGGACACAGATAGTGTTTATTATCTGTTGACGAACATGTGTATGGTGGTCTCAACTGAGCTGGACTGAGGTGTATATCATGCTGGGTAAAGTCTCACAATCTTAAAAAAAAAAAAGCAAGTATTTAAAATGTAGAATTAAACTATGAGTTTTTTGGGGTGGCAAAAAAAATTTGCAATTCATGCATGGTTTTTTTCATGATATGTGTTTTTCAAGACCCCCCTTATATTTTAGGAAATGAAACCTCATTTAACTAAAATGGTTCAACAACATGACACAGAACTGGTCAGAATCAGCCTGTGTCATTTCTCCCTCCAGCCCTGAGATAGCGTATTTGCTGATTAAAAAAAAGAACAAAACAGGTATTATGGCCAGACTCTGATGTGATCAGTGCTCATGTTAGCCAGATAAGGGGCCATTATTACCTCCCATGATGATTTTCTTTGGTTGGAGAGCTTTCTAGCATTTCCAACCCTTCCGTGCTCATCTAATTTGATCCTGACATATAAGACATGAGATTCTTCCCATTTCACAGAGGAGGATATTGGGGCCCAGAGAATGTATTTTCTTGTTCAAAACCAGATAGCTATTGGGTCATGGGAAAAGTCATGATGTAGTTTTTCTGCAAAAACATGTCATGACTTTCATGATGACCCAATAGATAGTAGTGTGGCCAATGTGTTACTACCACCCCCCACACACACTTACCAACATCCCCCCCACCATTCTATAATGTCTGCTCAGAGGCCCACCTTGTGATAGGCTGTGTGAAGATGTCCAGTGTACCTGCACCTGTGGGCTTGGCAGGGCTTACCTTCACACCTTGTGTTCATTATGCTTGTTCTGTGTTGCTAATTAAATGATGGTAGTGTTACAGATTTTTGTCTGTGCTTCCAAGAATAAACATTAGACAGATATCTCTGGGCTGCATCAAAGTTAACTAGATAATCTAATTAAAGTCATGCTAATCTCAAAATGGAACTGTAAAAACAAGGTAGCTAACATGAAGCTTAGGACTTTTAAATCAAGAGGCTGCCTAAGATTCTCAGTCTTTCTCTTCCTAAATGATAAGATGACGATGTTTATTTTTTGCTGAAAGTACAGCCTCCTATAGTTATCAGTGAGAAAAGTAGGACTCTAGCCCTAGTTTTGCCACTAATTAGCTGAATAATCCTAGGCAATCTCCAGAATCTGGCTGGCCTCAGTTTCCAGCTCTCTGAAATGGGGACAGTGACAACACCTGTCTTACTCACCTCATGTGGTTGCATCTGCATGTCTCAAGAGTCTGCTCACTGCCTATAAAGGCTCCAAGGGCTTATGTGGACATTGGCTTTGTGAATTTAGGTAAATGGCATGTCAGTTTCCACATCTGTAAATTATGCAAACAATACCACGTTGTGTTGTTAGGAAGATTGTAATGAGATAAAATGGGTAAGACCTCAGTGCAGCATCAGGCACAAAAGTGGGTGTCAATAAATGTTGGTGTGGCTGAAGGAGCGCTGTGGGACTCAAGTCTCAAAGCCACCATCAGACAGAGTGCCAGCTCCAGACTGCCTTTTCCCTACCTGGCTCTAACTGCCTCTCCTCCAGCTTCTCTAGCCTAAGGAGCCATCGCAAAGGCAGAAGCACTGTGGTGCTGATATTGGCATTCAGGACATCCCCTGTCCTGGGAGCACTTTACTCCCAGGATGGCTTCTCTAGATGCCCTTGGTGACTAGGTTATGTGCTCACGATGCTTTTGTTGGAGAGTTCAAGGGCTGGTGCTGGGGCATGGAATCCAGCATCTCTTACCTGGCCTCATGACCCAAAGGCATTCTGTCTACAGTTTTAACATCCTGGCCACTTCCTGTCTTCCTTTCCATTGCGGGCAAACCTTGAACTGCTTTACTCCCACAATCTGAGGTCAAGATTAAAATGCAAATAGGAGGGGCTAATATACAAAGTGCCGCCAAAGGTCTAGTTGCAAAAGCAAAATCACCCTAAGGACAAGTTTTAAGAAGATGGAACTTAGAAAGGGCCTGGGCTGGGTGGTAGTGAGAGGCTAGGAGTCCTGGGAATTGAAAGTCAGGGGAGGGGGAAACAGGGTTAGCTGCAGGAAACAGAAAAGGGAGACGAGACAAGAAAAACAGCTTCGCACATTTCACAATTTTTCTGAAGGTTCTTCTCGATTGTCAGCAGCTGTTGGACGATTTTTCCTGCAGTCTGAGGACATGATGCTTAATTCACCCAGGGAGCAGGATGTTCTGTCTTTTTAAATGAAGCACGTGGTAAAGTCAAAACAGAGCTTCTGCCCAAATCTTGAGGGGTTTGAGAGATATGTCAACATTCCATGAATCCCCAAATGCTGATTTCTGTCCAGATAACAGCCTATAAGGCCCAACAAAGGAAGCAGCAGCCCGTGCTCTGGAAATTTCAGAAGGCAGGACAGAGTGAACAAGTTGAAGCTGGTTGACTTGAGGCCTGGAGTGCCACAAACTGCATTTGATGCTTTTCTTAAAAAATAAAAATTGAGCTGCTTCTTATCAGACAAACAATAGAGGTTTTTTATAGAAACATAATAAAATATAGACAAGCACTAAGAAAAAAAAAATTGCCCCTAACTTCATTATCCCTCAACTGCTAACATTTTTGAATAGAGAGAGACAGGACAATCATTGGTAAATGCCTGGGTTCTGGGGCTCACCTGCCTACTGCAAAGCCAGACTTCCTCTTTTACCTGCTAGAGGCCTCAAGTGCCTTACTTAGCCTCCCTGGGCCCATTTTTTCATCTGTAAATGATGGGTAATAATAACAATTAGCCTCCAAAGGTGGCTGTGTGAATTAAGCTAAGGTAGTACTGGGCAAAAATGCCTAGACTATAGCAAGGACACTGTGATAACCATAATAATAATGATATTTCTAGACCTTTTCCTGTGTAATATATAGGAGTAATATATATAGAAATTTGATGCACAAATTTCTGTGAAAATAGACTTGTCCTGTTCTGTTTTATAACTATTTTACTCTCATGATTATCTTTTCACTGACAGCTTTTTTATTAATATTAGCTAACTTTCCTTATTGTAGGGATAGGCCTGGTGCTAAAGATTTAACACAAATTATTACATTTAGTCCTCAGTAATTCTGTGGGATAAGTACTATTATTATTATTTTACAGATGAAGAAACTGAGGCTAAGCATTATAAAGAATTTCTTCTTCTTTTTTTAAGTGTTTGCCATAGGGCACATGTGCTTGCCAGAGAGCGACAGGAGAGAGAGAGAGAGAAAGTGAGAAATCCCCCTGGGCGGGGGGTAGTGGCGGTCTTACTACAATCCTTTCTCCATTCTCTCTTGAATTTTGGGTGCATGTGTTTCAGGCCATTCGGTTGACCGTGTAGGATCCAGCTGCCTTAACCTTCACACCACCTGCTAGCCCAACATTATAAATAAGTTTAAAAAAATTTAGTTTATTCATCATTATTATTTTCAATTTGACCAGAGAGAGACAGAGAGGGAAAGTGAGAAAGCATGCCACCAGAGCTGAGACTCGAACCACAGTCAATCAAGTAGGTGTCTAGAGCTTTAGCCACTGTGCCACCTCCCAGCCCCTATAGAGTTTACAAGCAGGCGAATTAGAATTCCAACCTAGACATTCTTTCAAACTTGCCTATGTTAGAACTTAACATGAGTGTTATTAGAAGATCCAGAATTTCTTTAGGACTTCCTTTAAAAGGCAGATTTTTGTACACGTCTTCTTTCCCTCCATCCGGCAATGAAGAGGGGCTGGTAACCTACATTGGCAGGGTTTGGAGAGAAAATGTCTGTGCTCACTTCTGTTCAACACTTGACAAGTATGCACTTGGGATTCTGGACATGGATGTTTGACTAACTGCTCTTCTTCAATTTTGATGGCATTTTCCGTTTTTATTGTGGATACCACTCTCTGACATGAAATGGGATCTGAGGTCTGACACTGGGCTTACCTTCTGGGTGTATCTAGTAAAAGAGAACCACAAAACAGTTTTTCATCTTGTTCTCCAGAGCCTTTGAGAGCACCACCTAGACCACTGGACGTAGCTTTCTTAGCCATCCTTTTCCATCTCTGGACATTCATCCCTAGCCCCAGGACCAGGTTCCTAGCATTGCCAGCTATTTTAACCAGCAAGACTTTGCTGAAAGCCCACCTATGTGAAGCACTGTATGGGCATAGCAGGAGTGCAAGAGGAGGAAGGCAGTTAGGCAGTTAGAAGACTCCATGTGAACAGCACTGACAAAATAAAAAGCAGGTTATGTGTGGCTCTGATCAGTTCAGGGGAAGAGTTTGTACCACAGGCGCAGGGGGGCATGGGGATGTTTTGCCAAGGGTTATAGAATGGCAGTAACCTTTCAGGGACTAACCCTTTATCTCTCGATTCAGGAGTAGCTCGGAGAGGAGGAAGGAGAAATCCCGAGATGCTGCAAGGTGCCGCCGGAGCAAGGAGACGGAGGTCTTCTACGAGCTGGCCCATGAGCTGCCCCTGCCACAGAGCATCAGCTCCCACCTGGACAAAGCCTCCATCATGCGGTTAGCGATCAGCTTCCTGCGAACACACAAGCTCCTGTCCTCAGGTGAGGCCTGCAGGCTCCCCTGGTCTGGCACAGATGGCAGCTGTCCTCCTGGGCCCTACAGGCAGGGGTACCTATTATGCTAGAGCTGGAAACACTTCCTCCCCAGGAACATCTACTCTGCATAACTTTCACTAGGAAATGCTATCACTAATGCTTGATTCCTTTCTAGCCATGAACACAGCTGTGGGGTGCTAGGATGGGACACAGGAAGAGAGCAGGGACCTGAAAGCTAAGAGGCACAAAGGGGGGTGGGAGGAGCCAAGGGTGGCATTTGCCGACCTCCCAGTTCTGTCATCATCTGGCCATATGACCTCCCACTCCAGGCTAGGTTGACTCCTTAGGAAGCATGTGGTCCTGATCTTCTAACTAGCTTCTCCAGAATAGCAGAGAAAGTATGCCCATATGATACAGTTGTTTCCTGTCACTAGCCAGTTAAGCCAAGCAAACCGTTTAGTCTCACTGAACCTTGGTTTTCTCTTCTATAAACTTGGGTTGAAAATATGTATTGCCCAGGGCAGCTGTGAAAACTTACTGAGACATTGTGAAGCATCTGGCCTAGTGCACTCATTCACACTGGGGAATCCTTGACAATGACAACCCAAGGCACTGCCTTTCCCCAAGGAATCATCAAATTCTTATCCTTCCTGGTCTCTCTGCAACTCATAAGTTCACAAAACTATTCCCCCACAGCCCAAGGGAAGTGCATTCTTCCAAAAAACCATTTCCTGTTAGTCCTGACCAGAAGAGGTAGCCTGAACAGTTTTCCAGTTTCAGATCCCATGTTACAGTCGCATCTAGTGTAATAATCTTGTCGGGAAACTGGTAGGGTCTAGTGCACCCCACCTCCCAGTCTGGTGTGACAGGTGGGCAGTGTTCAAGAGAGTGAGCATGAAGGAGGCCATTGGAGAGAAGGTTCTTTTGTGGTTTGTGTTCAGTATTCCTGAGCAAGTGTGGTGCCTTGCCAACAGGTCGATCCTGCCATCCTGTTATGCAGTGGCTATTCTGGGAAAGAAACCCTGACCAGAGGGAATCCAGTGTGAGGCAGGGAGGTGAGACCAGCGTGTGCTATTCTGAGCCCCACAGCACAGGAAGGATATGGGGGGAAGACTTTCAGAAAATAGAATGACAGCTCAGTGGGCCCAAGGCGCTTGGAGGGTTAGGCCTATACTGCAAACCTAAAGGGTGAATTGTGCAGTTTCAGAAAAGAACAGACAGGCGGGGGAGAACCACAAGCTAAGACATGCTTTGTAAATATTGGGTTGCCGGAAAAGTCATGATGCATTTTTTTATATAGAAAAACAGAAAAATATGTCATGACTTTTCCAACGACCCAATACTTTCATGGAAACAGAGCAGGGCAATGAAAGATTCACAGTCGTGAATGCCTACAGAAAGAGGAAGCAAAACGCTGTAGCCCTAGCATGGCTGGAGTTGCTGGATGTAAGAAAGACCTGGAGACTTCGATCACTAGACACTTGTGTACTTCTTTCTATTGAAGAGATTGATCTTCCTGGAGAGCTGGGGCAATGACTGGTAATGTTGGACTTCTTTACATACGTAGAGTAGGCACAGAGATTTTGAAGGCTAAACCATCTCCTTTATCTCCCTACAATGGTACTTCAAATTCTACTCTTAGACATTGCTTCCTTTGTTTTAACCATTGCTATCTTCGCAACACCCCAATTCCTCCACCAGCAAAATCTTGAAAAACATAACATATTAATTCCTAGGAGGTCTCTCTGACTGAATTTGGACTCATGTCATTTCTCCTCGTATCATGCATGAGTGAGGCACAGAAAAGTTAAGGATGCTTGAAGTCATGCATTTAGTATGTGGTGAATCTGCACCTAGAATTCAGGTCCTTTTGAGTCTCAGTTCAAGGGAAAGACAGACATGGAGTGGAGGATCATTTTTGAAACTTAGTTAGAAAATGGTATCATGGCCTCAGGGGTTGGGGCCAGAGAGAAGGCAGGGGAACCAAAGTTAAACAGAGTCTCCTGGTGCTGGTCCTCAGTGGTGGGGTGGGAAGGAGGTCCTCATACACTCAGAGAGTTGTTTCTATCCTTTCTGTTGGTGCAGAGACCCTATTTTCCTGTGCTCATCCATACATAAGCCCAGTCACCTTTCCTAGTGGTTCAGAAGTTGACTTGGAGAGGGCCGCGAGGTAGAAGTTGGGCCCTAGCCAGCCTGTGTGTGTCCTGGTGTGAACCCCGCATACTATACACACAGAGCCACAGGAGAAGCGCAGCCATGGCAAGACATCACTCATCCTGGCTTAGGAGCTATTGAAAGTACGGACACAAACTGCCTGCCCTCCAGCTGGGCTTGGCCCCAGCCCGACCAGAGCCCTCAGCCTGTCACCTCTGCTCCTCTCTGTCCCAAGAAAGAACTGAGGGAAAAGGATAAAAAGTTTCTACTTTGGGCCATCTGGTCCTGTTGTCCTAGAAGGAGACATTCTCATAAAACAAGTATAGCCATGATATGGGGGAATGGCCTCTCAACACCTCCTTTCCTCTCCCTTCTGTCCCAGGTTCCAACTACAAGTTCATTAGACTGTTGAAATTGAATGCAAGGGACAAACAGATGGTATAGTGGTAATGTCGCTGGACTCCCACATAGTCAATCATAGTTCAAGTCCCAGACCCAGTGGCTTAAACCTCACGTCGGGCACATGTACATGCATGCCCACAATCCCAAGAAGAGAATGGAGGAGAAGGGGTTGCAGTGTGGCCATCCCCTCTTGGGGGGGGGGGGGGAGCAGAGGGGTTGATTTCTCACTTTCTGTCTCTCTGTATTTCTCTGGTGAGCACACGTGCCCTATAGCAAAAATCTCTCTCTTAAAAACAAACAAAAAAAATTGATTGCAAAACTGGATTTTTAAAAAATTATATTTAGTTTTTTTGTTTGTTTTTTTTGTTTGTTTTTTGTTTTTTGGGTTTTTTTGTTTTGTTTTGTTTTGTTTTTAGTGCATATAGCACAGTGAAAGGATGCATGGGACCTGTGGGCAGATGAATTTGCCTTGGAGTCTCAGGTTGGCCGACTCCTGTCTCTGCGGCCTTGCAAAAATTCCTTTCTCTCTTTCAGCCTTGGTCTCCTCGTCTGCAGAGGGCAGATAATAGTACTTACCCAACAGTGTTATTTTAGGAAGAGATAAAGGCTATAAAAGGCCTGATCCTCTAGTCTGCCTGTATGAGGCTCTCAGGAAGTTACAACTTAGATATGATAACGATGATGCACAGAATATTGATTTATAATAAGTATATGCTTCTGGAAAAATGATGTAAAAGCAAAGCCTGTGTAAACACTTACCATACTCCATATTTTTATCAAAATGCAAAGTTGTTAAGTGTTTTAAGTCAAAACAAACCACAAATTCGTTATTTAAGTATATCCAACAAAGGTGAGTACCAATTTTGGCTCACTTTATAATAGGAAATAACTGATTGCATACCTCAGAGTTCAAAAGGCTAAAAAATTTTGCTTTAGAAAAGTTTCTTCTTTACTTAGTAACATGTTTCCCTTTGATTTTCACAGTAGGCTGTTTTGTGTGGGAATGTTGGAGAGGAAACCTCCGCGTTGAGAAATTCAGGCTGTGCGCCTGGGCCGCCAATTGAGATTCCTATCACAGGAAGCAAACTGAAACAATAGGTTTATGATATTAGCTTCCACGCTGGACTGAGGACAGAACACACTCTTATGGGAACATCAGTGGAAATACTACCAGATTGTCTTAAACCCTCTTTCAAGATGAGACTCCAAAACTGTGGCTGAATAAGGGACCCTTCTGCATTCTGAAGGCGTTAAAGAGCCCTCAGCTACAAAATTTGCTTTTCACTATAAAATTGTTTTGGGGCTTCCCCACACTCATATCGTGGTGACATCAAGCTTATTTTATGCAAGACCCGGAGATCAGAGTGAAGCACGATTTCTTATTTCTTTTTTTGGAGAGGTTTTTGCTATAGGGCGCGTGCGCTTGCCAGACAGACAGAGAGATAGAAAGCGAGAAATCACCCCCAACGGGGGATGGCCCTTCTCTTCCATTCTCCTCTCAGGACCTTGGGCATGCACGCACACACGCCCTGTGTGGGTTTTAAGTTACTGGGTCCGGGACGCGAACTGCGGTCGAGTACGTGGGAGTCCAGCGACATAGCCATTATGCTAACTGCTGGTCCCAAGCACGATTTCTAAAGAGACATATCAGGCTTAGTAATTTGTTGGCATTTGCTTAGTGAAGACATCAGTCTTAATAAGAGATTATGATTTTGTGATTATCTTGATATACGGAAAAGACATTAAAATGTGAGACACATGATTTTAAAGTTTCTTTTTTTAAAAACAAATTATCTTATTTAACTTTATTTATGGAAAAATCACATAAAAGAAAAACCTGTGTAAACATACTCGTACCCACCTTTCAGCAATTTTTGTCAAGATGCAAAATTGCCAAGTGTTTTAAGTCAAAACAAACCACAAATTTATTATTTAAGTATATACAACAAAGGTGAGTACCAATTTTGGCTCACTTTATAATAGAAAATAGCTGGGTGCATACCTCAGCGTTCAAAAGGCTAAAAAGTTTTGCTTTATTCATTCATTTAAATTTGACCAGAGTCAAATTTGGGACAGAGTGAGAGAGACGAAAAGTGAGAAAGCAAGCCACCAGGTCCAGTACTCAAACCACAGTCGGCCATGTGGGAGTCCAGCATCCTTAACCACCAGGCCACCTGCCAGTCCCTGACTTTAAAGTTTCTATTATTCTCTTTCCATGTTGGAAAGTGGGGAAAGAGAATTATGGACGCAGATACGGTTTCTGGTGCCTTCTGCCCCACTGTCAGGTTTCTTTTCCCAGGCTTTCACTCCTACTATTTTACTGTCCCACCCCTTTGTGCCACCCACTCTGCAAACCAGGGTTTTTTTCTGTCCTCTTTGGAAAGAAGCCAATACACTGATTCAGGGAAGATGTTTAATGGCTGAGAGCAACAGTCAATGTACAGTCTCTTCTCAAGCTACTGACCTTGTTCAGATCATTCCTTTAACTTAAGAAAGTGGTCAGTTACCAGACATTTGCTGTACTATATCTTATAAAGGGTAATATAGAGAGGTAAGATAGGATAATAAGATATGTAAAGAGTAAAGGAATAAATCTCTACTGGTGGATTTTCAGACCTCTCTGGGATCCTAGCACGATCAAGTAGAATATAGTGCTTCTGCCAAAGGTGTGAGAGTAGCTCAAGCCTGATAGTAGGGTTTAAAGGTATGGTTAATCCAGCAAGTAATTTCCTTATGGCTTGACTGACACTACTCTCGCAGTCAGCACACTCAGGTTAGGGGGTGTGGTAGGCCACAGGCCTAGTCCTGGGAGAGGTGGAAGGAAGCAGTCAGTTTAAGCACAGCTCTTAAAAGGAAAGCCTCTACAGTGATAACTACCCAGCAACTGCCAAGTACATCTGAACCAGGAAACCCATCAGAATGGCTTTGAGAACAGTCAAAGCAGGCCAGCTAGTAGCATGCTGGTTAAGGCAGCTGGATCCCACATGGCCAACTCCATAGTGTGAGTTCTAGACCTAGCAGCCTGAGAAACAGATGAGGTACACGTGTGTGCACGCCCCAGATCATGAAAGGATGCAGAAACAGAAGAGAAGGGATTGACCTTCTCTCAGAAGGCCACAACCATCCCCCATTGGGGGTGCTTTCTCACTTTCCCTTTCTCTCTCTCTCTCTCCCTTTCTTGCTCACTCTCTCTCTGGTGAGTCCATGTACCCTCTGGCAAAATTAAAAGTAAAAATATAATAATAAAAATAAAAACATAAAGTAGCCCTGGATTTCTCAGAGTAGGAAATGAAGAAACTGCATTCCAACCAGCAGCACCACTGGGACAGCCTGGTCTCTAAGACCCAGTCAGTAGGTATCTGTCCTGCTACCCTGCCCACTCACCCCAGACGCCCAGCTCCACCCCGTGGGGACCCGTCCCACATGGCATGCTGCCTGAAGGAAATGAGCAGTGCTCCGGAAAAAGTGCTCCGAAACCTCAGTCCGCGCATATCCTGGCTGTGGGGAGCCATCAAAGCCTGTTTACGGGGCTATTTTTAGCATTAAAGAATCCTGTTGTGCTCCCCAGGCCTGCTCCTTCTCAGCAGAGGCCCTCTGGTTTTAGTGGCCTGTACCTCTTCCATGAGGTTGGCCCCTGAAGGGTTCTGGGAAGCAAGTGACCAAGACCTAGAACCCAAGAAGATTTAAAAACCCAGTTGGCAGCTAATTGAGCACTTGCTGTGGGCTCTTCCCTTTATTCTGCACCTGGGGTTTATTCTCAGTTGCCTTACAACCTCCCAGTGGTTTCTATTTGTCTTCTCTACCAGTCCATAGATTTCCTTGAGGGAAAGGACTGCTACCCTACTCAGTATCTCGGATTCTCCCTGGGACAGGACTGAGCGCATAATCATACTTGAGGACAGATCCTTTTGTGCCTGGCACAAGGCAGATACACAGTAGAAACCTATTCCCTGTGTAGTGAACAGGTGTTTTCCCGCTGGTACTGAGGATACACTAAGGAAGACCCACTGTTCACAGGAAGAAAGGCCGAGGAGCTTCAGCAGAGGTGTGACATGAGCCCCCTGGCTCCACAGACTTCAAATCAGCTCTGAGCTGGGAGTTCCCAGGCCAGGTTCCTTCAGGTGTTCCCAGAAGAAACAGCAGGTGCTGTGAGGGCAAATAGTTCCACAGAGGGAAGAGACCCCGCCCAGCCCTGCTGTCCCGAGTCCCTGGGGCCAGCCTACTGGCTTCCTGGTCCTCCAGCCATTGTGACTTCAGTTCCGAGATGTTTTGTTTCCCTCTGTGGCCCCAGAGTGCCCCCTTCCTCCCTCCAGAGGCAGCATACCGCTGTCCTAGTCATCTCACCACCTCCTGAAAGCGAGTGTACTGAGCACGATAGAAACCAGTTTGGCTGTGTTGGAAATGTTAAAAAACAGGAAATTGTAAGCAGAACTATTTCCTCTAGGCCTGGTTAACCCAAATAGAGTTGTCTTGGGATTCCTCCAGATTTTGAAGTCAGTGTTACTACTGAGATCAAAGAAAATGAAGAGAATATACCTTCTCAATAGTCCAGAAACTACAGGGCTGACCTCTGCTTAACTGGAGAAGGTGGTCACCTGAGTAATGCCATTTAAATGATGCTAAAAACCTCTCCTCACCCATCCCCAAATAGGTTACTACCTGCCAAGAGGAAATTGTCCCAGCAAAAGGTCATTGGTAGGCCCTTGAGTTGAGACCGTGGTTCTCAGCATGTGGTCTTAGGAATAAAGACATCACCTGGGAGCTTGTGAGGAAAGCAGATTCTCAATCCCCACCCAAGACCTCCTGCATCAGGAACTCAGGGAGGAGCCCATCCAGGGCCGGCTTCATGGGTCCATGACTTCTGTAGTGGAAGAAGTTCTTCATACTCAGATGAGTCTCAGGCATGGTTTAATCTTTTCAGCAAGACATCCCACATTTTTACTTTGCATTGGACCCTGCAAACTTTTGAGTTATTGGAAACGTCATGAGACAGTTTTGCATAGAAAAACATATAAAAATATGTCATGACTTTCCTGACAACCTACTAAGTAGCAGTACTGAGTCTAGAAACCTTTTCAGGCTGCCCTCCAGGCGATTCTGAGGTATGCTTAAATTTGAAAGCACTATGGGCCTGTCTAAATGTAGATGTTAACTGGGAGAGGCAACACCAGCAGCAGCAGCAGCCACCCCAGGAAACGTGGTTCATCAGCAGCAGTTCAGCTGATGAGTTAGTTGGCCAAGGACAGATGCACTGGCAACACCCCTAAGCAGGGCTCAGATGTGTGTGTGTGTATGGTAGAAGGCCACGCCATGGTTCTCTCCTTTAGAGGCTAGTTGCCAGGACTAGGGTATAAAGACAGAAGGATTTCGCTTTTTTGTTCTACCATATTAGCAAAACAAGGAAAGCCACCAGGATCCTACTCTACCAGCCCATGACTCTGAAGGCTGGTCCTTGATCAGGCCCTTGATCAGACCTCTGTAGCATCTGCGACATTGGCACATTCTCTGATCCTGTGTCCTAAAATACAGCTGGTCCCCAGTGGAGCCATTGAAGCCCCTTGGTTGGAACATCTCCTAATTCACGGTTTTTTTCTTCTTGCGTAATAGCAATATATAGCCCAGAGTTTAATTTTAGGGACTGGAGGGAAAAGAGAATCAGATCAATTCAGTGCTCTTTCAGAAAGGCCCTCGAACCACATTTTACAGCATTGGTAAACGCTTGTCCCTTTGCCAAGAGGCCCATAAATCTAATTGGATTTATGTTCCCTAGAAAAGTCTCCATCTGAACGACTCCTTTTAGTTAAGTGAATATTAACTTTTATAAGTGACAAATTACTCTCTAATCCTCTCATTCTATAAATCAAGTTAGGCACATATGGTTTAATGTTTATACTGAATGAATACACATTTTTATAATTAAATATATGGCATTAAATAATGAACCTAGAGAAAGGGGACCAAAATAAAGACTGTGGTCTGAGAATAACAAAGGGTTTGAGGCCTGAGCAGATTTTTGTTCAGAATAAGAGTTGACCTTGCATTTTTCAGATAGCAGATGTGCTTGATAAGCCAGGGTACTCGAAGTAGATGGTTTGGAGTGTTTTCCCAGGCTGCTTCTAGCTGCGCCTTTCCAGCCTGCTATAATGTAATTGTCTCCTCACGCTGTTCTGCACCATTGGGCTTCACACTCTCCAAATCATTCTGCCTGCCATTGCCAGAATAATTGCCCCACTCCTACCCCCACCCCCAAATGCTTTGAGATGCCACTCTTCTCCTCTTAGCCTGAACTGTGAGGCCCGTCCAGGACACTGGGCCTACCTCACCAACCTCATCTTTGAGACTGGGAAATAGACCCTACTCTTCATCCAGATACACCTCTTCTCTGTTCTGGAAGGAAGCTTGCTCCATGCATTTTCCAATGTCTACTCAACCTTATCTGCCCTGGACATTTCATTCTAAAGAGTGAAATCTCTATTTTTCATGAGTCTTCTCAAATCTCCTTCAGTTGTCTCTGACCAGCCATAAGCTACTCTCTCCATCTCTGACCCCCAGAGCACTTATTGCCTAAGCCCCTCCTTCGCCAGCCAGCTTTTGATGTCCTTGAATTTTGTTTACCTTTGCGAGTCTGTGTGCTACATAGCCTCACATCTAGCCTTTGGGCAATTTGAGGATAGTGACACTGTCTTAGAACAGAAGGGGGAAATAATTCACAATTGTTTATACTATTTTAGGCATTTGACATACTTATTTAATCTTTACAATTCAAAGGTATGGGAATCCTTATCCTCATTCAGCTGATGAGGAAACGGTTGTTCAATGAGACTGTTGTTTACCCATAGTCACGGCTTAATAGGTGGTTGATCCAGGAACAGAAATTGTGTTTATTTGACTCCAAAGTCTATAAGTGGTTGAACATGGTTTCTGGATTCCGCTACCAGGGCTTGCTAGCTTTACAACCTTTTCAACCTCAAGCAAATGGCTTTACCTCTCTAAAGCTCATCTGTAAAATGAGACTAAGAATAATACCTACCTTGTAGGTCATTATGGAAATAATATAGCATGTTTTGTGTAACATGAATTAGTAATTTCTCAGTACAGATTAGAAGTTAAATTTTTGTTCCTATTCTATGACTACTGTTATATCTATGACTACCACTGCTGCCGTTACTACTAGCATCCCAAGTGCTGTTGTCACTATGACTACCTTGTCCAAAAAGCCTCTCAGTTCATCTTCTGTGTAGTGTTCATTCAGTGTCTACCCCTTGGGCACATGGCAGACCCTGAGTGTCTGGCAGTGTGAAATCCTAGAAAAGTGCACCTGATACCTTTGAGCCATCCTGGCAGGTGTCTATCCATGCCAGTCATGTCTCTTTTAACACCATATTCATACAGGCCACCCAACCCCCTTCTCTTTCCAGTTTGCTCTGAAAATGAGTCTGAAGCCGAGGCTGACCAGCAGATGGATAACTTGTACCTGAAGGCCTTAGAGGGTTTCATTGCTGTGGTGACCCAAGATGGTGACATGATCTTTCTGTCAGAAAACATCAGCAAGTTCATGGGACTCACACAGGTGATAACGCTTCTCTCCCTTGTTCAAAAATGGCAAATGTTTTTCTTTAGGGGTAGAAATTCGTGGAAGGTGCTGATTACTATCCCTTTTGATCTCTCCCTGCACATGCCCACTCCAACTCTCACTTGACCTCAGGCCACAACCTCACTAATACACTCCCCTTTCCTGACATTGAGTTTGGCATTGCTGATGCCCATGCTGATAGATGGCTACTGACTAGATGAACAGGTCAGACCTCATGAGTCAAGTCTCTGTTATTATCCATAGTCCTTTAGTATATTCATCTCTCTGTGGACCTAGCACTGGACTGGGATTATGAGAAGACCAGATTCCATCTCCTCCCTGTCTCTAAATCTAGAAGGTAGCACAACTTCTTCTTGGAGTCTTTTACTTCAATATTAATAATAATGAGGCTTAACCTTCGTTTTGAAACAGGTGGAGCTGACAGGACACAGTATCTTTGACTTCACTCATCCCTGTGATCATGAGGAGATCCGTGAGAACCTGAGTCTCAAAAATGGTGAAGTATTCTTAAGAATGTATATATTTCCTTCTTGTCCCACCAGGGAGAAGATCTGCCCTCCCTTTGTTAACAGGTATAGAGAGCTGACTTATGTCCACTATGACCCAAGAGAAACTGACAACCATTAAAAAACTAAAATCCAATTGGGCTGGCCTTCTCTATAGTCATGTATGGTCTGCAAAATGAGATTAAGGGCACTGAAAAGATCCAACACACAGAAATATCCCATAGGCTCTGCATGAAACCTGACATCATACTGCCAGGGAACTCCTCCAGGTTAGGACACTGTCTCTAGGAGGTTTCATCACCTGAGAGTCAAGCATCTGTGCCAAAGGACACCACCCAAACCAATGGACTCATCTATGCCAGAGTTCTCAAAGGAACTATTGCAGTTGTCTATTGCTGGGTAACAAACCACCCAAAACACAGAGCTTATGCTGTCATTTTATTAGCTCTCAGGATTCTGTGGGTTCAGAGAGTAGGTCTTTTGCTCCAGGTAATGTCAGTGGGGCTGAAGTCCTCTGGGAGCTAAACTAAGCTGGGATGACCAAGATGGTCCACCCGTATGTCTGGGAACTTGGTGCAAGTGGCTGGACACTTGGGCACAGCTGGGAGGCTAGAATGATTGGACCTCTCTGTTACCTCATGGACTCTCAGAGCCCCAGACAACCCTTTTCAGATGGTTTTTCCTGGTGACTAGACATCATATATGGCAGCTCAGGGTTCCTAAAAGAGGAAGCTGCTAGGTCTTCCTAGGGTTTAGTCCCCAAACTGGAACAGTATCACTTCCTGCCCCATTTTTTGGTTAGAGCAAGATGCAGGCCAGTCCTGTCTCAATGTGGGAGGGGACTATCAAAGGTCACGAGTGTCAGGAGGCATGGCTTATTAGAGTGACCTTTGGAGACTAGCTTCCATGGAAGCCATGGAATGGTCCTCTAGTGATGAAACATAGGACAGGAGGGTTTTGGTAGAGAAGGAATTTTAAAATTCCAGTGTACTGGACCCTCCTGTGGAGGGTATGCATCAAGTGCCAGTGGATGAGAGTCCACACAGGCAGAAAGCATTTGCGATGGCAGTGGAGCTTCACCTCCTGTAACTGCAGATATTCAAGCAGAGACATGAAGCAGGGCTATTATCAAAAGGGCTGAAGCTCTGAGCAGCCGTGGGGTTTAGTGACTGGCTAAGTCTGAACCTAAGACTCTATCACCGATCTAGACATATTTTGCCCATGCCTGCACATCCTCCTTAATCTCTCTCACATGTCACTGCCGTGGGGCTTGTGCTTATCTAGACCGAAAAACAAGCAATGGTACCAAGCCTGCAGGGTTTGACCCTTGTTCCACACATGCCGAAAAAGCAGATGCTGCATCGGCTCACTTCCACCCATGTTCCAGACTGACCCCGAAATCCACATTTGGGCCTGCAGAGTACAGAATTACAACACCTGCCTACCCATCAACCTCTCACCCAGCCTCTCTGTTCTCCTACCTGGTTATTAAGAATCACAGCCTGGAGGGCACCCCAGGGGCTGTTTGGTATCTTGTCTATGCTGCCGAGAAAGCCTTTTATATAGAATGTTTGCTTCTATGGGGAAGAGGCTACCAGAATTTCCAAATCACTAAAACAGGTGACTAAAGCCTTAACAGACCTAATGTCTAATTTGTTCTCTAGTCCAGAAACCCTGTGGCCCTTCTTCCTAGTCTCAGTTCAACTACTAACCAGAGTCACAGTTCAATTCTCTGAACTAAGTACCTCACTTCTCTGTCCCTCAGAATCTTTTCAAATTGATAATATTGAACTAGGCAAAGTCTAGGGCCTTCTAGCTCTCAAGTGCCATATTTACATACCAGTGATCTATGAGTAGACCTTTAGATCTTTTGTTCCATGTATTGGAGACTTGAGATCAGTCAAACTCAATGAATCAGCAACTCCTCCATTCAAGGTGCCGCCCTAGGGTGGACTCGCACACCAGAAGTAGAGCATTAGTGTGAGTTAGAGGGAGATAAGGCCATGTGGAGAGCCGCGAACTTTATCCTGCAGACAGTGAGGAGCTATAGAAGGTTTTTGAGAAGGGGGAGGTGATCTGCTTGGATCTGTGTTTGGAAAGAATAATCAAATGTCAGGATGGGGAGAATCCAGAAGTTAAAGAGGCCACAATAATACCCCAAGCAAAGAGCCACAGATGACTCCCGTCAGCCCCCTCATGCCCAACACCTGCGTTGATCTTGGTAGGGTTTCAGAAACCAAGATGCAGGTATTGGGAGGACTTCAAAATTTTTCTAGAGGGACCAGCAATTGGCATAATGGCTATGTCACTGGGCTCCCATATAGTCGACCGTGGTTCAAGTCCTGGACCCGGTGGCTTAAATTCACGCAGGGCACGTGTGCGTGCATGCCCAAGATCCCGAGAGGAGAATGGATGGGAAGGGATTGCGGTGTGACCATCCTCCCTGGGGAGTGATTTCTTGCTTTCTGTCTCTCTGTCTCTTTCTGTCTTTCTGGTGAGTGCATGTGCCCTATAGGAAAAACCTCTCCAAAAAAAAGTTTGTAGAAAAATGGAATTAAAGTATAAGTTTTTGTGGATATAAAAAATACTGCAATCCATGTTTTATTTGTTTGGTTTTGCTTTTCTTTGTGTGTGTGCATGTGTGTGTGTGTGTGTGTATTTTTCTTTTAACTAGAGGGGTATATGTGCTCACCAGAGAGAGACAGAGAAGAGAAAGCACTTCCTTGGGGAATGGTCACACGGCAATCCCTCTGTCCCATCTCTTCTCCTCCTTTAGGATTGTGGGCATGCATGCACATATGCCTGAGTGTTTCTCAGGTTACCAGGTCTGGGATTCAGACCACATGGTTGGCCATGTAGGTTCTGACTGCCTTAACCATCAGGTCATGGACCCAGCCCACATGTTTTTTATATTGAGTCATCAGAAAAGTCATAACACAGAAAAATAGAAAAATACATCATGACTTCTCTGACAGCCCCAATTAATACACATTTCCATTAACTTTTTGAAGACTCCTTGTATATATTATATACAAACCCCACCTGTAAAAATTAAAATTGTAAAAAACATAAGTATGGGAAAGATGGTTTTATAATCATGATGGAAAAATAGTCTTTCTTTGAAGAAAAGATAAGATTTGCCTCATTTGGTCTTCCTTAAATGTGTTTCCATTCAGCTGAGGGGTGTCACATTTCTCGACACAGTTCTTCAGGAATATGTTAGTCAGCTAACTCAAGATTCTCTGGAAGCTTAGGTACAGAGGCTGTTGGCTTTCGATACAGGTGGTAGGGGTGTAACTATATGAAAAAAAAAAAAAAGGCTCTAGATTGTTCTGTGATACTGGGCAGCGGCAAGGGTATGCCTTGAAAGGCCCAGGACAGAGATGGTGATATCGGCAGAATTTAGACATAGACAAGAAGGACCCAGCTGGCACTACAGTCACCACTCTGTTTTATAGCAAGTGGAAAATATTCTGAATAGGCAGGCTATTTAGAGACTGTAAGGAAGGAAGCTCCAGTGTTGGTCTTAGTGATTTGCTAAATACTGACTGAGAGAGGCTATCACCTATGTGGAGTTAATATTCAAAGTGGACTTGGTCACCAAATCCCAGGAGATTCAGAGCCTATTTGGTCTCTCTTGTGCCTTGACATGTCACCTTAGGGAGAAAGCTAATGGCTTGTTTTTCTGAAGACAGCTATTGCCGACTGCAAATAAGCTACAGGACAGTGCAAATTCCTGAGGGGCAAGTTATAAAGATAAGACAGGAGTGTCGGAGGAACAGTTCTAACCCAAGAGGCTTATACCTTTGGAGTCTCACCCACACTGTGCCTTCAAA